TCCTTACTGGCCTGGAATAGGAGGACTCCCCTCGAACAGACTGCCAGATTCACATGCCTCGACATAGAACACCAACTGTTTATACCTGAGTGATAATTTGTGTATCGCTCGAATGACAGTGGAATTGCAAGCCACATCTTCTTCTTCTCCATGGTCGTCAACCATGATCGAATTTGTGTTTTGCTTATACTCTCAGCTGGGAGGGCGATCGAATCCGCTGAGGAAGAATCACTCAGATAATCTCGATGATGCTTCGAGAATTATCTCACTATCGCCGTGATCCACGAAATTGATGAAGACGTAATCGTTCTCGGTGCTTTCCAGAACTTTCTTCGATGCTAGCGACTTATCGCCGGTTAGAACCTGCATTAGCAAGAATGATTTCGAGGCTGAAGGAAGCATATCTCATGTAGGATAACTTATCCTGAATGAGAGATGGACTCGCATTCAACGATACTCACTCCTTGAACGTTTTTGACCGTGACCTCCTCGCCACTATAGTCTATCTCGCAACCTTTATAGACATCAACGCCAGGACGGTCACCTTAAAGTGAGGGCTCATGGGCTCCTTAGGTGACGAACGAGCCCACCCGTTGGTTTGTTGAATAGCTGTCCCTTGAAGGGGTTCTTAGGGTGATTCACAACATCATTATACCTGGAGTTGATAGGAGAGGAAACAGCTGGCAGCAGTGTGCTAGGGAGGTCTCTTTTACGATAAAGTGATGATGTGCTCCTTGGGTACACCATTTTTTCTGAGAATCTGATACGCATGACACACGTCAGCTTGATGTCGATAGTTCCAATAAGTGTTGGAACCGGCGATGAGGACCTGAGCAGTCACACAATATAAACTGTTCCCGTTACTTGTCTCTCAAATGATATGATGATTCCCTCAATCACTGCACTCACAGCCCAGTGGTTTGCAGGTATATCGTTGTCGAAAGATACATTCTTGTCCTGAGACAGTGAGTAGCCGATTGATAAGATAGCGGAGAACAGCATAATGAGAATGTAGTGACGGGTCATGATGCGAGAAAAGGTTATACTCCTTGGAGAGTCACCAAAATGACGATAATAGTGATTAAATTGCAACCGGAGGAGGTTACTCGACTTCGGGGGCGTCGCGCCTCCAGAGTTGGCCAACCGTCACGCGGCGTGACTCACGCCTCACGTGGTGGCACCTTTTTCCCCTTCATCATCAAACACCTACTGCAGGTGTAAGCACGTCCAAAAGTGGCCCCAGAGTACTTGCCGTATGATGCAGTATTCCCAAGCATTCAGATTTCAATCCTTCCGCATCAGGCTGTAGGTTGGAAGATACCAATAGTCTCTACGGCAAATATTAAGGTTGTTTCAGGGGCCTACTCGATGGAATAAGTTAGACACGTGCGACTCTTTCAGACTTGTGGCGTGTGACACGTCACGTGCCGCGTGGAATTGAATTGCCCTTTAGTCACATACAATCAACGTCAATCACGAACTGTATATATCACATGTTTAACGCATTACAGCACGTGTTGTGGGTCCAGTTTGCCTGCACCCTCGTTATCTCAGCAAATCTTCGCCTTCCTATTCATAACGAATGATCCAAATATCGATTACTGTGCTGCTAAGTGTGTACATTCGTACAGAACTCAAGTGCAGGTATTATTGTTCTAGCTCGTAGCGCTTATTGTTATTGTCCTAGGGTCGTAGTATTGGTTGCTCTAGCTCGAGTTCTCTTGTGCTGTTTTAGAGTTCATCAACTGATACCGCGACATACGTGGTTGATGTCCGGACCGGACACTCCGGTGCCTCCTGTCGTTCCCTTGTGTCAACACGACCCGACATTAGCTGGAGAGATGCGACCCAAGCGTACACTGACCAATAGCTACGGACTCAGGAGCTAGTAACGCTCAATGCTCAAGATCAATAGTACGCATGTATCCTGTGCTCACACTCTTGTACGCAAGCGCACAAGCATACGCAAGCTATCCTTGTGCTTGCAAAGCACGAGGAGAATGTCTAAACACATGTACAGAGAGGTGACGCTCTCTGCCGTGCAGGCTGGTCAAGCATCAATAACGGTCGGGTCGATTCTTCTAGAGATTTCTCGAGAGCTCCTCGGCGAGGAGCTCGGCCGTTCCAGACTTGGACTTGACAATGTCAGCTCGAGGGCCTCGAGCTGACTTCTGAAGGTGCAAGAAATCTTCTGCGGGTAGGTCATCTGGGTTTAGGTCAGAAAGGGGCCCGAAAACTGTGCAGCATACTGAGGCGAGAGGGTGTTCAGTTCCCTGGCGGTGGTCTGAAGAGGGCGTGGGAAGAGCGATGAGATATTTTTGGTCACCTTTTTTGGCCCGAGACACTCTTGTTGCAGTCCGGCTCCAAGTCTGATCCAGCCTCGACACCATTTCGTGTTTGTACTGATATCAATTGATAGATCCTAATTGGGTAACACAAAAGCCCTACTGAGATCTTGAGCCAGATGGCTACGGATATATACGGAACATATCATGCAAATCATCGCCACACTTTGACTCCAGTATCATCAACTCGGATAATTTCACAGCCAGCTGTTTCGGAGCGTCCCCATATGATATCCAGGGCGCCAAACCTGCGCACGCCACAGACTCGGCCTGAGGACCAGTAAGGACGGGGACGGCGGACGCCGGCAGATATTCCAGTGGCAACCGAGATACGCATCCCGACACGAGAAGTGGTTCGTTTATGAGACAATCTTCGGTCTCATCAAATGCCTTACTGAATGTAGTTACAAATAACGAGGTGTAACGGAACTCCCGCTCGGGAACACAACTGTCCCATCTCCTCTGACACCCCACGTTGGCCATACTATCGAATATTACGTGGGTAGTAACACAATCGCTGTCTCTTTATGAGGAAAACCTCATGAAGGGATTGGACGATCGATTTCCGCTATTGTATCGCTCCGTCCCTTTAACTTCTCTCAACCTTGACTCACTAATCTTCTACTAACTACTACTTCCACTCAACCCTATGTCTAGTACTCAGTCGTCAATTAACGGGGAAGGAGCTGCGACCATTACTACAAATGAATCATTTGAAATGATGCATCATCCGAGAATCGAGGATCCATTCTTCCCTGCTGTAGAGTTCTCGAGCACTTCCAATGTCCGATGGACTGGGCAATAGTAAGATATATTGCCTGGTCTGCTACCACTACAGCGGCATCCAACTACGACGGTCGCTCCTATCCTTCCTATGTCAGTTTTTCCTTCCCTTATCTGGACTTTCAAGATCCCCTGCTCTTCCAAGCAGCAGAAGTCGCCGCTGAGGCTGACCGAATAACAAGGATAAAAGTTCGATGGAGGCCAACAATTCTTGAAGCTATCGGTTAATATCGTTACGATGGAGGCGCCACCGTAACGATCGATCAGCATAAGACAAGCACGATCGAAGGGCCGAGACGAGGCACAACCTGCAGCAGATCTTCGACTGTGAACCTATCAAGAAGTTATTCGACCTCGGCATGCCTAGACAGATTGCATGTGACCTCAAGGCGACTGCTTTTTTGGTGGGTATAAAAATGGCCTCCTCCAAGCACCCATGTCCATTCTGTGTTAGCTCGAGACACTCGACCGAGCATGGTGACGGCAGGAGCTGGGAACGGCATATGGGAGACTCAAGCAGGGATCGCAGTGTTGTCGCGCAGCCTATGATCCGGTGGGAGA